ATAATGCACCACTATTTCACCAATTTTCTAAAAATTTGCTTGAATTGTGCAGTAAATGTCCAACAAAATAAGCCAATTGTTGCATTATTGTTGCAATAAATGACCTCTAAAAAGTAGCTGACACGATGCATTAATTGAGCACATGAAAGTAACTAAAACAGTTAATAATTTGGCTTGGTTGATATAAACGTTTTTATGATTTGAAGTGATAATTCTACACTGAAAATTTTTCTTTTTTGAGTTTGTATTTCACTGAACAATAGCTGGAAGGGTGCATTATTTTGTTTGAGTTAAAAACACGTTTTCTTATTTGAGTTGATATATCACTGAAAAGTTACTGAAGATGATAATGCACCACTATTTCACCCATTTTCTGAAACGTTGCTTGAATTCTGCAGTAAATGACCAACAAAATAAACCAACTGTTGCATTATTGTTGTAATAAATGACCTCTGAAAGGTAGCTAACACGATTGAGCACTAGAAAGTAGCTGAAACAGTGTCTATTGACATGACATTTCACTGGCCAAGCAATGAATGGTAACTAATGATGGGTCGTATTTGTTTTAAATTGGCTCACTTCAAATGAATATTCACAAGACTTGTTATTTTTACAATTGCATTGAACAAGCAAAAACCAATCTTTCTCTGAAGCTATGGCAAACAAGTTTTTCACAATCGTCCACCAAAATGGCCAAGTTGTTGAAACTAAATATGGTGTTCAGTTCATGTCACAGAGTCATGTGAACATGATGTTCCCGGTAGATGTACCTCATGGGAAAATAAAGATGAAAATCGGGAAAAAATTAGAGCTTATGTTTCAAGTTTGAGATATCAACACATCATTTCAGAGACTCCGCTCAAATATGGAGCAATCTTGCTCGACATATAGAAAATATTACCCAAACTGTAGATGTTCCTACTTCCTCAACTGTAGCACCCGTGATCGCATAATCATGACCATCATAAGATATAAATTACCTCGTCGGGCAATTCGGTAAAATCCTTACTGATTTTAACGAGGAAGATGAAACTTATGTTCCACTTATGATGGACGATGACACACCAATAATCGATGAATCTGATATCGCCGAGGCTGCTTCAAAAGGACAAGCCTTTAATATAGAGGGTGATGTGTGGGAGGTAGTCTTTTCTCATGGCGAAGCAATGCATAATACTTAGTCAGTTCGGGCACATCCACCAACATCCATGCAAGCATAAAGTTCGCAACCCCATATGCCTCAATATTTTCATACAGTTACAATTCATGAGATAAACTATGATTCCATGAGGAGTACTGAGATTTCTGATATGCCGAATTTATGCACAGCACAGTAGGGGACCTCAGATGAAGATCGATGGAGTTTGGAGTTGGATCACAGTTTGGGAGTAAAAAGGATGCGTAACTAGATGTGAAGGAGTTTTGTATCAAAGCTCGTATGGAATTCACAGTTGTGGAGTTTGACCAAAAGACATATTTTTTTCAGATGTATTAACAACATTATTGGCTGTAGGTAGAGGATATGTGTCTCATACCTACAGCGAAAGATGTAGTGAGAAGTCATAAGGTTCCACAACCAGCATAGTTGCACGTTCATCTCCTTGACAAAGACCATAAGCACTTAGACTTTGAAGCCATATGTGGATACGTGAAGCTACTGGTGGAGAAAAATTCTTGGTATCAATGATTGTGGCATCAATACGAAATACATTTGGTTATATTTTGTCTTATTACATGTCCTGGATTGCCAAACGAAAAGCTATAACCCTACTGTATGGTGATTGGGGATCAGTCATATAATAAACTACACATCTGTTGCACACAATGGAATATTTCATCCCAGGAACCATTGTTTGCTCTTACACATATCCTACAACCACATTTGGTGAACAAGTTATCTCTGGGAAGTGAGTTTTTGAAGGCTTGTTCTGGGTTTTCAAGTCACAAATTGAAGGCTTTTGTTACTACAAACAGATGGTTCATATGGATGGCACTTTTCTATACATCTTATACAAACACATCATTATGATAGCCATTACACAAGATGGTGATAGAAATGCCTTCACCATTGCCTTCGTCATTGTAAAAAATGAGTCTGAGGAAACGTGCAATTTCTTTTTGTCAAACTTGCACTCCCATGTTATCACCCAAGATGGGGTTTATATAATCTTAGACCGTTCACGTAAGTTATTAGCCATGATTAACAGAGCATGAAGTAGGTGATCGCCTCTGCATGCATTTCCTGCGTATTGCATACGTCATATTGCTTCAAATTCTATGTTGAGGTTCAAGAATAAAAAGATAAAGAAAGATATTATCAGCATGGGTAACTTATTTAGTTTTACCCTTCATTTTTTGGTATTGGCCTTCGTTTAAAATTATTATATACTTACACCTAACAATTTTTTCAGGCTACGCATTACTACAACCGAGCTTTCATGGAAGACTAGAAAATTTAAGAAAATATGGAAAAGTGGTGTATACCTTTGCAGCTGAGATACCTTGGGAAAGATGGGCACAAGCATATGATGATCAAGGTCGACGTTACGGTCATATGACAACCAATCTTGCTGAGTGTATCAATTCAGTGCTAAAATGGACTAGACATCTTCTGGTGACAACTATTGTTCGGGAGATATACTTCAGATTGGGTAAAGTTTGGGTAGACAAAGGTACCCAGGTAGAGGAAATACTCAACGAAGGTAGAAATTAGGCTCTAGATCTGGAGAAAGCAATGACCAAAAATCAAACTCATGTAAAATCAATGTATGTTCATAATTTCACCAAACTATAATATGATTATATTGTCCAATCACTTGTTCGACCATATAAATGTGGGAATTTTTCTATCTATATTGGTAATATGAATGGAAGATAGTGTGATTGTGGTCGATTTCAAGCCTTCAGATGCCCATGCGCTCACGTGGATGTTGCATGTATGCATGTGAATATAGACCCATACATTTACGCTGATAATTGTTATAGCTTGCATACTATGCGCAACATATACAGTTGCGAGTTTAAGTTTCTCCCGAACGATGCATATTGGCCACCTATTGTCTCTAAGGAATGGTTGCCCAATCCGTAATTATGAAGGAAGTTCAGGGGTCGTTCTGAATCTAGTCGAATTCATACTGATATGGATGACTCTCAAAGAGAGCAAGGTCTGCCGAAGCTATGGGGCCAATGCAGAGGTGAAGGCCAAAATAAGAAGCACTGTCCACAACTCCCAAGATATCGAGCAGGCCAATAAATCCTTTGTAATCATATTCCCATGTTTTACCGATTTTACAAATACCAATGATAATTTTGCAAATTTTTACGTTTCATATATAATTGCAAACTATAACGTTAAACTAAAGTCAAATTCATACATTTATTTAAAACCTTTTTTCAACAAAATAAACATCTTTTCCTCTCAATTTTTACATAAATTTTCTTATTCTCATTCCTTTCGATGAGTCGTTTGTTGCGTCGGCTTGCTATCTCCTTCTCCTCCTCACTTTTTAACTCCTTATGTTAATCAAGAAAAGACTTTATTAATTCTTTCACCCATTCGTCATATGAAGACGAGCTTTAATCCGAATCATCAATATTAGAGTAATCAAACCAAAGATGATCTTCTGAAAATTGCATGAAATATTCTTCCTAAAAGTGCATGTTTTGGTTCTCCTATAACTCTATCAACTAACACAACTCCTATTTATAGTTAAAATTTGAGAAAATTAACTTTGAAACTCATCACCTCGAGGTGACGAGTTCCAACGACTACAAATTTTAAACCCAAGGAACTCTTCACATTGTATTTTTTTTCCAAAAAAATAAAATTCACATAATAATTTGTAAAAAATGATTTTTTAAATTCCACGAAAAATACTAAAATATTATACTCGAAATATAAAATTATATCACATGGAGGTGACGAGTTCCCCTTACATTGTAGAATATATCGTAGATCCCAAATTACTTTTTAGGGTGTCCTATTGGACCAAATAATTCCTACGGGTGCCTTATTGTGCCAAAAAAAAAACCCAATTATCATACCATTGTTTTGGATGGCCCTAACCCTAGAAATATCAAAATTCCTCGGAATGAGGATGTGCGACGCAAGTGGGGTTGAAAGCTTGTGTTTTGACAGAGGTGTCAACTAAAGAAAATCATATTAAAAAAATAAATTATAAATTTATCCATAAATTACTTTGGGCCTACAAAAGGCTCATATTTAATGTTTTTCCCTATAATCTAACAGTTAGAATAAAAATTGAACTCTTATTAAATGTCACATCATCAAACTAAAGATATTTAACGTCATATTGACTAAAACTTGAAAAAGCGATAACATAAGTGACCAAAACTTTATAAACAATAATGTAAGTGATCAAAATTTAAATTTGTTGCAATGAGTAAAAAATACATACACGTGAAAGGTAAGTGACCATTCTGGTAGTTTACCCATATTGTTAAAAAGGAACTTTCCGTCACATATTCTTCATTTACCTTGCCAACTGCCTGTGGCTAATGTTCAATTATTCTATATTTTATTTAGGTCAACTATAAGCCCTATTAACGGCCCATTGCAAAACTACAACTCCCAAATATTAAACTGGTAACGTTCGAACGAGAAATATAACTTCCACCAAGGCAGCGGTTATGCCCATCGATCCATACACATACACATACAGGATCCTTGAAAGACCCCCAATAAATGAAGTAGCCAAATTACCAAACCGAAGGCAACAAACATGTTAATAATGAACTCCACGTTCTCATTCAGGAAACAAAATCGAAAAGAACAAAAGAACGTCATTAAGCGCAAGTTCCTCTCAACTTTCGCTCTATCCAACTAATAATATGTGAGTTCGTAAAATCACAGGATTACATTGGTGTAGTAATATGTACAACCCCAAATGCCTAACTTCTACAGCCCCATGCTTGTTCCTTGTGATTATGACCCAATTTTCATATTAGAATATAAGTTCGATGGATGGTACCTGAATATTTCAAGTTCGAATAACAGGACCCTTGTACAGCCCTCTCCGAATCACAAAGTTGTCAGGGGGCTGAAACTCTTCCAACCAAGTCACTTCCGAGAACGTCTCTCCATTCATTTCAATCTCACCTTCATTTTAAACAAGCAAATGAAATAAGAAACTAGCATGCAGCATTGATCCTCATGTCTCAAAATATTAAAGAACCTACCACCTATAACTAGATTCAAAATTATATTTCTTACCAGGTAAATCCCTTCTTGGGGACCTCCGGAAGTAAGTGCAGTGTCGTCCATGCTCCGAAGAGTAAGGTGGAGATAAAATATCAAAAATAGCACAGGGAGTCCGTGCCCTGAAACAATGAATGTTGCCTCCACTTGTGGGATAAAGCACTGTTGTCGCACAAGGAGCTGTCATCTCAGTATCCTTGACAAGCTTTGCAGCTCTTGCTACAAACCATCAAGAATAAGCAAAAATCCAAGTCAAAGATTGAAGATTATATAATGTGTCCTATACCCTTGGAAGGGTGAAGAGAAAATGCATCATTCAAAATCAAGCACCGACATTTCTGTCTATTAATAATTTATCAATATTATTACATCAGTCGAACAAATAAATCCTTGACAAGCTTTGCAGCTCTTGCTACAAACCATCAAGAATAAGCAAAAATCCAAGTCAAAGATTGAAGATTATATAATGTGTCCTATACCCTTGGAAGGGTGAAGAGAAAATGCATCATTCAAAATCAAGCACCGACATTTCTGTCTATTAATAATTTATCAATATTATTACATCAGTCGAACAAATAAATACTTTAGTCGGTGACATATAGGCAGGTTCAGCTGCTATACGCCACAAATAATCACTCCTGTTAATCAGAAAAAAGATCTCATACAGATTTAATAAGTCCTATTTATTTCAACTCATGTTCAATAGCTTCCTTTCCATTTCACATGCTACAGGCAAGCCAGACATCATGCAAAATAAATAAATGAAGCCTTCACTGGGCAACCGCCTCACCCCTGAAATGCCGGATTGCACCATAAAACCCCTAGATTGAATAGTTATTTTATTTCATTAACAAGTTTGTTTATCAACTTCCCTACACTTACTTTGCGAGCACAAAGTTGAATCAAACAAATATACCCCAGGAAAAAAATCTTTGGATTGGGGGTCAAAATATTTGGATGGTATCAAATTCCATTTAAATTTTGTTTTTAGAAACCAAGCTGAACTCAATTAGAATCACATCAAAGTTCAAACAATATGTTTTGGATGCCTTCCATAACCATTCATTTGGTCTGGTTTGCGTTCAAACATTTTTTAAATGAAATTCCACTCAAATATAAGTGTGCACATCCCAAGCTAAGTACAGTATAGCCTCCAAATATTTCACAAAATCAGCTTAGAAGATATGTCACAAGCATTCTCATTAAACCGGAAGTAAACCACATCTACACAAGATGAGGAATTGAACAAGCCTCTCACATTCTTAGATGCTTGCAGAAAGACTCTTTACATCTACCCTATTTAAAGAGTCATTAGCTGTAACAAAGAGACGGCCACCAGCTAGTACATTTAGTATTATCTATGTCTTCTTACTCTATTCCAAGTTTCAAACAAATTTTAAATTAATTAAATTTCAGTCTCAATATTTCTCAGTTATTTTAAAAGACAAACCACCAGCACATAACTAAATTAAATGCAAGTTATACAAAAAAATTGCATAGCACAAGTTAAATGGTAAGAACAGCAGTGAAATAGATTTCTACCACCAGAAGATAACTTTATAAAGGTACTAGATCTTCTAGAAAAAATTACCCGAGAAAACTCCTGAAACAGATATTTGGAAAAGAATAATAATTAAAAAATGGGTCTCGTGAGGTTTTTGAGTGCCTAACTTTGGATCCCACATATAAGTATGGGATTTTCTTGTGGGCGTTTGTAAGGACCTGGGCTCTCCAATCTCAACCACAAGCGCTTCAGATGTGGTTCTCCAAAGGCTAATATCAATTAGCATCCAATCCGGTTAATTAGTAACCCAGAGTGGTGACATTGGTGCTTCAGTGTTCGACCAAGGACCATAGCAAACCTGACCCTGATGGGCACTGGGACTGCAAAGCATGGTAGAATTATATGTGCCCAAATGCAAGGTATGGTACTTTGATCACACATAGGAAAGTATGAGATATTCTTGCGGGGTTTATATGCACCTAAGTTCTCCAATCTCAATAACTAGGTTTTGGGGTATGACTCCAAAGGTCCATGTCAATTTCAAGGAATATAAAGGATGGTATCATTAGTAAATCAATTTAAAACAAATGTGTAAATTTGTTATCAAATTTATACATAAGAACAAATTTCTCTATGGAAATACCGAGTTATGGTTTAGTTAACATGCATCAAAGAAATATGGACCATTACAAACACACCTTGTAGTGGATCTTCAGGTTCTGTAGGGTCAAGCCAATCATATGACTTTACGTGTAATGAGCCATAGATAAGCCTGCTCAGCACTGTCATTCCTGGATGATTGTGCAAAGGTATCATAGAGGAAGGTGGCATACAAAAAATTCCTATCTGCAGAGAATGAGAAAATAAAAAAATGAGGGCCTCAATAGCTAATAATGCAATTTCAATTTTCAAAAGTTTAAATCTAATTTCAAGGGAAGTGCCCATTTTAATAAATTCTAGGAGATCTCCAGCTAAATGCAGCTTTCTCACTTAAAAAGTTATGTCCTCAAATGTAGGAAATATCATTATTAATAAAGGTGATAGTTAATATTTTTGCTTACAGAGAAGCTGTCACACTCATGCAAGTGCAGATACTTAATTGGCGGCGAAGACTGATGGGTTCCATTCCGCTCATTTACAGGACCAGACCAATTACATACCACCTGCGCCTCCTGTTCCAGACCTACATCAGAAGGCTTCATTTTCTCTGAAATGAAATGACATTTTGGGTTAAAATGCTATGGAAGAAAACAAAAAATTGGAGCTTCATGCACAGTGGTTTAGAAAATTGAATGTTTAATCAAATAATACCAAAGGTGTGGTAATCATCTCTACCAAGCAGAACACTTTCTCAATGTTATAGCAGGCCCTTGTACTTAGTACTTCAAATTAGAATAATAGTAAACACTCACAATGATGTCTTGATCCAATGCCTTCAGTATACAGACGGATTGAATTACTGAACACCCAGGCAACATTTTCTCTATATTATATCTAGAAGCACTCCAATGCTAAATAACAGTCAAGGTGTCTAGCAAGTAGAAACCTGAAATTGTTCCACAATAATGGAGCAGTCCCTCAATGTAAAGCAGAACAAATTGCAATTTTAACTCGTCATACAACAAGCTTTTATAATCAAAATAAAAGTGCTTCAAAGATAATTAGAAGCAATCATTTTGAAGGTATATCTTAGATGCCCAAGGGAACTAGCGGTGGCCATCTACCATCAGAAATGATAGCAAAAATAATTAAATTTAATACAAATCATAATAGTAGATCGTAAAAGCAGAGAACAGGAAGATTACATCCTTAAAAGCATAGTGAAATTCTGACATAGGTCATTGTGGAAGGGATTTCAAATTTCTCACTCCGCTAAAGTTCAAGACTGTAATTAAATTCGATGGAAATCTGGAAATGTTTTTCCAATTAAATTATGTCAGTGCCTCTTCCTAAAGGAAAAATTTTGAACTTAAAAGTAAATAAGCTTAACATCCCACACAATGAAGGATATTTTTTTTTAGTTACAAAACCACAGAAGCCTGGTATTCCAATAAGCCAAAAGGCATGGAACTATTTATTGGTAGATCATGGACTTGCCAAGATATTAACATACTAGGAGTTGCATGAAGCAACTTCGAATAGCTGATGTCATTCAAAGAAAGATTCAACATACTTAAATTAATTAACCAATGAATAAAGTCACACGTTTCAATTTTGATTGAAAATAACATCACAGCAAAATGCAACAAAAATTAGCTTCCATATATTTACGAACTACTAATTCCAGAAACATGCAGAAATTAATAATAACTTTCAACATGATTTTATTTCAATTATAATAACTAATAAATCATAGAAGACTTGTTTCAACCATAAGCTCAAGGAACAAACACGAAGAAAGAAGGAATCAATAGTGAATACCTAGCATAGTACGGACTTTTTCAAGAGTCTCATCAGAAACAGGGCCATTGGGCGAGAATGCCGCTCTGCAAGTATTATAAAGCCTCTGTATATAATATGGCATATTTGTAAAGACGGTACCAACTTAACTGAAAGGACCAAAAGCCTCTATATCAGTAAGCTGATAACGCCTTTTTTGCAAGTACAACACTAATTGATAGTGCGATAAAAGATGCAATTCGGTGATAATTGGATCTGCGTAGAAACCCGACGGTAGTAGATCTGCATGGAAATTAATTCATTATCCCTCCCGCTAATCTCACTTACAACCACCCATCTGACAAGGCACACATTGAAGCCAAAGTAAATCGATTTAATTCATTTCCAACGACAGAAAATAAACAAGTATAGAAAGCAGAGCCTTCCTTATTACAAAATTCAAGAATTCAATGCATATTTTCATTGCCAAAATTCCTATTAGAAGAATATTAACCCTAAAAGAGATAATGCAAGCGAATAAAACAAATACTAAACTCAACCTGGGAAAATCTAAAAGTAATTCGGTTAACCTAAAAAGCACTAATAAACAGATTTCAAGATATATATATATTGATAAATGGTTGCGCAAAAATTAAAAGCAAAAGAAGAAAAATATGGAGAATCGAATAATAAAGGATCTAACCACTTTTAAATCCATCAAAGTGATGATAAATATTTGCGAGAAATGGACGTCGCGAGTTAGGACGAAGAGCATAGGAGAGAATAAAGTAAGGAAAGGGAATGGATCGCTGATGAGAGAAACGCAACAGTGAGAAAACACGAAGCAGGGGGAGGCTGCGATTAGCTTATATCACCTGGATTTTACATTAACTGCCCTTTTGCCTAAATAAAAATTCATTTTATATTTTGGGTAAAGTACACCAATGGTCCATCAATTATAGGTATTAATTTTTTAGCCTCTCGACTATTAAAAGTTAAAAAATAATCATTTAATTATAGGATATTGCTTTGTTGAGTCATTCAACTATTAAAAATTATAAAATGATCATTAAACTATTCATATGTTCCAAAATATCTTTTTTTGTTAAAAAAAGTAAAAGCGTCTAAACTGGACGTTAACCTACTGATTTGAATATGATAAAATCTTATCCTAAAATCTTAAATGACTATACAACTTAGGATTATATTTTATCATATCCAAGAGTATATTAGTGTTCAGCTTAAACGACTGTTAATTTTTTTAATAAAAAGATGAGTTTAAAATATATGAATAGTTAAAAGATCATTTTGTAACTTTTAATAGTCGATGTGCTCAATAAAATAACACGAGTGTGAAGATTATTTTTCTAATGGCGACACATGAGGAAATTTACATATAAAAATCTATAGGTTTCGACACTCATATATATATATATATATATATATGAAAATTCGAGAATTTTTGTATGGTCTTAAATAAATCATTAAATATCATATGAGAAATTTCACAAAATTATCCTGGATTATAATTTTATTTTTAATAAATTTAATGATTGTGTACTTTAAAATCCTTTATTCTTGTTGTGAAATATCAAGGATTAAGATTATTAAATCTGAAAATATATTTTTTCTTTAATACAGGCTCAATATATAAAGAAAATTTCAAATAAGTTTAATAATTTTGACTTGATTCATATTAAAATCCTTTAGGATTCTGAAGGATTCTAGAATACAGTTAAATAAAGAAAATAATATTTCACAATATGTGCAAACACCCGTTTTGTCCTTTTTATTATTATTATTATTATTATTATTATATTAAATATTTATTATTTTCGCAACCTTAAACCCGATTACAAACCAAGCCCAACTCCAAATGAAACAGGCCCAAATTTATAAAGCCGTAAGCCCAACTTTTAGGGTTTGTTTTGGAAACCCTATAGAGCATCCCCCTAATCACGCCGCCGTCAGTTGTTGCCGCCTCTGCCGTTCGCCCCAGCCGCACCGACGACGCCGAGAAAGTCAATGTTTCAAACATTCATCGTCATCACCTCATCAAACAGTGAAAAGAAGGGAAATCAGTCAACAACCACCCAGAACTAATTAAAAATCTGATTAAATTAAAAAAAAATATGATTTTATTAATGGGGCTTAGGGAAATCATTCCCTTGACCATAGCTTCACTGTACCACATAATACATCACCAGATTTCATCAAATCAAGCATATAGCAAGAGATAAAAAGGGAAGCCATTCGAACAAAGGAGGAAGGGGAAAAAGGGAAACTTTTGTAAAGAAAATTTCAGAGTAAAAAAGCTTTGTAACCAGAAGTAAAAAGTCAATAAAATTTTTAGATCCCTTTTCAAAGGTACCATCTTTTTCGTTTCTTGTTTGAATCCAAAGATATTCAAGTAGTTTTTTTTTAATAAGAAAAAAAGGACATTTTATCTTCTGGGTGAGATTCGGAGCGAGTAGAGGGTCCCTTGACCTTCACTTGTAGCCTTAGACGTCAGTGAGAGGAGCCCGAGGTGGTGGTCGCCGATGAACCGCCATGCAAGGCGACGGCAGCTAGCCTATTCTTTAAAACCTTTTTTATTTCATTATAGTATATATAATATTAAATGTTGATGCGTACATATATGCTTTATATTATCAACTTATTACGTATATATTATTTGCTATATAAGAGTACTATACTATATTATTTGTGTAATGCTTGTACATATATATTACGCACTGTGCCATTTTTTTCCTATATTTTATATACTATTTATAAATTATATATATTATATATGTTGTTTTTTTCTCTTTCGTAAAATATGGGGTGTAGTATATTAAATATTTCTAACTTATTTATTTATTTATACTGCATTATATATGCTCTTAGATATTTCCATTCACATATTAGTTTAGACATGTCATTTTTTTTATTGACGCGCATAATCCTTATAAGCTTTACTTGACTGAAATCAAATAATTCGACTAAGGTAATACCCGTTTATTTTTTAGTTTGTGGGAAGTGATTGTCTTAAGGTATAAGGTCATTCCCGACGATTTTATAAAATAAAAGGGTATCCTACTAAGCGAAAGCATAAAATTTATTTCACTTAAAACATGGGACTGAGAAAACGATTAAGTTCTTTTAATTAAATTTACCGAGAAAAGATTGTTAGATTAGATCTAAGGTCTGGTAAAATAGTTAATTAATTGTATTCGTTTGATGTATGCATTTAAGTTTCGTCTTACTTTGTATATGGTTAAAAAGAGTCTCAAATTAAGTTATACTCGAATGTATAAATTTTATTGTAAGGATGACTAATTAATTAATTAGGGACCGATTTAGGGCACTATGGTGTTGTTAATCCTTCCCTGCGCTTAATCGACTCTCGAACTAAAATTTTTGGTAACGCATATCGTAAAATTGTTGTTTTAATTAAAATTAATATTTTATTAAAATGACAAATATATTTTTGGGTTCTCAATCACACCCTAATCAAAGATTGGTGGAGACTCCACGAACCCGATTTTATTTTTTTAAAAACTCAAGTCCCAAATTTTTCGATGTGAACGTTTTTACAAAATCCTGATTTTTAATCGACAAGATTTTAAAAGGAACATCATGACAGCTTGGCTACTCCATTGGGGACGTTTAGAGAGTCAGACCATTAATTAATTAATTAGTTATCTCTGTAATGAAAATTATAAACTCGCCTTAATTTAATTTCTGATCCCTTGTATGTTTAGCATAACATTGTGTTTATAATTTGGTTAACCACTAAATAGTTGTACTGATTTGTTTGATAATGTTTTCAGATTAAATAAGTACAAAAGGAATTGATAATTCTGTTTTGTGTTGCCTACTTATATTTTTTTTGCTTTTCCTCATACACTGCATAGTTGCATTTGCATAACATGGCTAAAACCCCACTCCGTCCTGTTTAAGTGGGAGTGAGAAACTACTCTTACTTGATGGTTTTCACATTCGCATGGGATAACAGATCGCTCCTGGGGCACATGCCTTTTGGTCCTCGTGATGGTAATCACCTTCGCATGGATATAGGGAAGTGTAACTTGTCGAATTGAACTCGATTTGTATAAGCATGTGATGGGCTAGGATTGAGGGTCTGACAACCCAAGGGGGCACCAGCAAGGATAATTAGAGTACCTTTTACCTTATAAACGAATCCAACATATAGTGAACCCATGACTTAAATATAGCCTTACCATACCTTAGAAATCATGTGATGAGAGTACACAAGGAAACGCTTTTGTGAGTCTTAGATAATTTAACATTTTGAATAAATACCTGAGAACTAGATATCATGTGATTAGGTTTATTTTTTTAAATAAGCATGCGAATTAGATATCATACTGTTAAGATTTTAAACAAAGCATGTGGGTAGAAAGCATGTTTGGGTAGGATTTATTAAACCATATATGGGTAGTCCGCCTGTGAGGGTATGTTTTATTTGATGTTTATAGTTCTTATTATCTTGTTTTTTATCTTATGTGTACTAACCCATTTTGTTTTGTGTTTATTTTATTTTGGTTTTATTTTTCTTCCATTTGCATTTCATGTCATACAAAGGTGTTAATTCACAAGGGATTGACTAAATAGAAGGTTGTTCATAATGAGACAAGAAACTCTTAGCCATGTAGTCAAAACCAGGAGATCCAAATATGTTTAAATGATTCATGAAGAATGATAACCAATGAATGAAGAAATTTGAAGTAGATTGAAGACTTCCATCAAAAGTAAAAAGGCTAAGATGCTTTCTCAAGAGACAGATACATTTAGATAAAGAACGAGAAGACTTTTCAACAACAAGCAATTTAAGGACACCAAATGTCATCAAAAGCGATAAAGTGCAACGAAAACTCTGAGTGCAATGTTGGATCCCATGAAGAATACGGCTCAAATAAACGAATAAATAAAGAATCACAATTTTATTTTGACTACCTGGTGTAATGAAACCTTGTTGTCTAAATGAAAGTTGTTATATGGTGGTCACTTATGGAATTAACACGTTTTGCACCTGTATTTCGCATTTACATTTGTATTCACATCTTCGTATCTATGAATTGATGCCTTTGCATTATGCATTTATTTAAACATTTTTACATTCTTACAACCATAAAAACATGGAAGTAACTCGTGGAAGATCATGTGACAGAAATCCTAGAAGTAAGTGAAAGTCATTTTTATCACGTCTTAAGAAATGAAGAAAACCATGGAGGAAAAACTACTTGAGTTCAAGAAAAATCAGATAGACAAGGCTCAACAAGAGATTATGGATAAATTCTTAAAGTCTCAGAGTGAGATGATGGAAAAGTTGTCATAATTAATAGGAGTGAGAAATGTTGATTTTGTGGTTAATTCATCAACTGAAAATCCTCTCTGCTTACCTGTAGTCACTCTGACTAGCACAAAGGTACATATACATCAGGCCAATTCTTCTGCTCAATCCCCTATAAGGTAAGATCATGCCAAGAATACCTTCAAGTGTAATGAAAGGATTATAGTTAAAAAGCTAGAAGAAGAATGCTTGAAAGCGATGAATAAAATGATTCAAGGGCTAAAATGAGTTAATGAATTTCCTGAGATAGATCAGAAAGAGTTAAGTTTGGTCCCTAACCTAGTGCTCCCACATAAGTTCAAGATGCCTAAATTTGAGAAATATAGTGGAACTAGTTGTCCTCTCAATCATCTCACGATGTTTTGTCAAAGGATGTCTCGATATATTGAAAATGATCAAATGTTGATCCACTACTTTCAAGATAGTTTAATTGGATCTGCTTCTGGATGGTACAATCATCTAAGTCGGACTCACATCAAAA